AACCACTTGTCTCTAATTGGGGGAGGGGGGAATGCAACGCAGGATAGAAAAGGAGGGGACTGAAGTGTCAAGAGTACCCACAAAAGGGTGAGTGACAGTGATTGATATGGTGTGTGGTTGCGTTGTCCAGTAAATTAACACGCGCCCGGGTAGCCGGTTGGATACCCTTTGCTCGGACGGGGATCAATTTAACGCCCTTGAGATCTCAAGAACGAAGAGGGCTAGGGGCACCAAATTCACAGGGTGAGTTGACCTGCACATGAACTCATTTGGGTAAAAGTTTAGACGTCCTTTATTATGACTTCCGGGTCAAATAAGGCCAAACAAGGTCAGACTCGAAGTTGGTCACCAAAGTGTGACCAGAACCTAGGTACCTGTCCTAAGCAAAAGGTCACATGCTCATTCAAGGTCAGTGACCTTTTTTACCTTTCCAAGGTCATTGGAACCAAGATCATAAAATTCTACTTTTGAGTTTTGCATACGAATACACGACAAAGATTAAGCTAGGCAGTATGCTCCAAAAAATGACGTGGTGACCTGGGTCATTTTAGGTCAGTGGCCTATTCTGACCTAGAGAGGTTCATGGAAGATGTCTAATGTGGTTCGTGGTATCAATAAATTCTAGATGAGTGCCAGAAACTACCTCAAACTGGAAGCCCCAGGGTAATAAGACAGGCTGGTTTTGACTTTGGTCTAGCCTTCATATCTGACCCTAGGCCAGTGAAGTTTGGGCATTCAATTGTCTCGTTGCCTGAGAAAGTATCTCAGAGAAGTATGGCTTCGTCAAACACTCTGCTGTTACATCAGATTGAAAGATTCCCTTGAAATTGACTTTGCTGAATCCATGCCCTGACTTTGACCTGCCGTAGATCAACGACCTTACCACGTTGCCAAGAGTTTTACTTCAAATAGCAGGTGGCTTTATGGTTTTGCGGTCCAACTGTGCTATGAGGCCGGTGAAATGTTGGCATTTGGATGTCTCTGAGGAGAGTGTTGGCTATTTCCTGATGATAGCACACCTATGGTAAGAGAAAACCTCTGGAAGTGATTCATTCTGCAGTGCTAATTCATGTGCACGTTTTCTTTGCACTTGTGAGCATGGCATTGCATGGATGTAAATATGATATGTTGCATTACTATTTTTGCTAACAATGAATTGTAAAATTGTCCTGATGGAGCCATTAGCATAATCACTGTATGCATTTAACCACAGGCTGTGAAGGCAGACAGCCTGCCCTATATGCAGCCTTCAATGATAGTAGAAGTCAACATAGTTTGTGTGGTCGTGGGATGACAGGAGTGCCAATTTGTATGCATGATTTGGAAACTATTGCAATAAGTCCAGAAAATGCTGTTTTGTGTTGTACATAGATATTGGGCAGTGCCCCAGAAAAATTAATTGATACTCATGCATTATACATGATAAACATCACAGGTGACCTTAGATTTGCGTACTGCTTGCACGCAAATGGCAATTTTGGCTTGCGGATTGAATTTCTAGCAATGTTTGGATGTTGGTAATGAAGTGTGCCATTCTGCTATGACAGTTCATGTTTCCAAAATCTTAAATGCGGATTTTTAAATCCGCATCTTTAAAATGACTACAAAGGATAGCAGCCAACAATGTAAACCGTTACCCTGATTCACCGGTTTCTGTAACGGTGAGTGGTGGTGGGGGGGGGGGGGGATTCCCTGACGTCTGTGAACTAAAAAGGTAAATCCCCGCAAAAAAACATCCAAACAGCGAACTATGTTTAACGAGATCTTGTCATTGGTAAGAAGTCTCCTGTTGTTAGTTGACCACACTAGACCAAGTCGAAGGGTAAATTTTCCTAAGCCAAACATCAGCTTTGCGTGTTCACATATGCGAAAACATGCAGTGTGGTTACATGGAGCATAAAGAGGCGGGTCCCTTGTTTCATTATGAGCATATGGCATGCAGCCTTATCTATTTGGAGCCTATATTTATAATGTAGGATTTCGTTCATGTAGGAGTGCCAACCCTGGGCGCGCGGTCCGCAGGATCGTCGTTTGCCTCTCGTTGCACCCGCCGACCTTGGATCGTCCTCCAATGCTCATAAAAACATTGCTTCTTTAAAACCAGAACTGTTAGGGGCATTTCTTTTTCTTTTTTTTTTTGCTCTCAGCACGCATGCGATGGATGCTCCAGAGGCTACCAAAGATTTGAGCGAGACTGCATAATAAGCCACATTAGTATCCTCAGAAAACCGTGGGGGAGCTGTTGCGTCACCCCCTCCCCCCTCCCTTTCCTGTCAGGGCGAGTAACTTGTTTATTAAGAGCTGGTCACCTGGCGTGGCGTTATTACAAATTTCGATACAACTTATTCGTTGGGGCATGGCGAAAGGCGCCCACCAGTCAAAACATGTCGCGCCAGGCTTGGAGCCTGAATCAGGCATGGTGGATAGTGTCATGACAGTTGAGATGGGTCCCAAAACGCATACGTAATTTCCATAAGGAACCCTCGTGGAGGCACCATATTTGACGTCATTCCCATTGCCGCTTGCCACTGGTTCGAAGTCTGCCATGCCTTCTACTGTCCTGGTTATCGAGGTACTTCGCTGATTTTTTGTGGTTGAGTAAAGCAAATCCAGCTGTAGATCAAGTTTAAACGCGAGGCCCCGGCAAGTCTCGGGTGTGGAATAAAGGTCTTGTTGTGATTGGGCTATCTCAAGCAGGTGTGCCTGCTTTCCTAGCAGCAGCACTTATCCTGGCATTTGCTGAAGAACAGTGTATTTTGCACGAAGGACGCCATTGAACGTTTCGGTTATGTGCATGATATTGAAAACCGCAGTGATGAAAGGGACTTTCGGTGATGGGCAGATTACTGATCACGCTATTGGGCATGAACTTAATGACCATTTTGTAATATGTTTTCGCATTACGCTACTGGCGATCATTTTTCCTCCAGAAATTTTGGCCGGTGACAAAAGTACATTTTTACCACCCCTGGGCAGGAGGATGGGAACTCGAGCGCCTCCAAGCGGCGCTCGCCGACTACGCAAGCATTCACTCGCTAGCACATAGATGTTTTCTGGCACCTTACACTACATCCCTTTTAAAAGAAGAATACCCTCATAGTTGAATCATTCGTCCACGATATAATGAAGAAATCCATGGCCTAATGAACACATGTCCCACGAACTTTACCTAACGTGCGCAGTACGAAAGCGATAGGTAAGAAAGATCCTTAGGCGATATCTGTCACGTCGTTGCAGCTAACCTTAACTGCATTGTAACGCAAACAATGCAAACACACCATGGATCAGCCAGATATCGCAGAAGGAATTAGCCAGCTATAGCCAGTTAGGTAGCCAGGTATCGCAGTCACGGGCTAAATCCATCTAGAGTTCACCTGATTCGAGCGCTCCGCTGTTCGCGCTGACCGTTCAACGACGGATGCCCTACAGACACTGGGATCCGAGACCTAGGCGCATTTGAATTGGGGAACCCGGCTTTGAATGCTGAAGGATGCCATGTTGGATCGCAACAAAACAATACAGAGTTCTTTCGTGTCCGATTTCAGACAAATGCGTACTACCTAGCTAACAAAAAGCCGTGACATCAGCAAAGCGATCACAAGATTTGTTAAGTCCAAACATAAGAACACGACAGTGGTACGATTACTTCATGACACTCGAAAATGACCGAGTGCAAGACTTCACACTCACGACTGTTTGGGCCGTTCCGAGCGCAGTAGAGGGGGTGGGCGTGGATCCTGGGAGCTGCCGTCTGACCTCGGGCAGAGGGTTTTCCCCCTGTCGACTCTACGGGGACTTGTCCACGGCGGCTCGGTCAGTCAGGCTCTGCAGCGCCTGGAGAGAGTGCTCGAGCGCATCAGCAGCGCGGGCCGCATTCTAAGCCCAGCAAAATACCAGCTGTTCCGACCAGTAGTGACGTACCTCGGCTGGGTGTCCGCCTGAGGAGACCGAGGCCGCGAACCTCGCTCCAGCCCAAGCCGTGGCTGCGAATCAGCCGGCAGAGACCGAAGCTGCGAACCCCACACCAGCCCAGGTCGCGGCTGAACCGCCTGACGAGCCGGCAGCAGCAGCGGTACCGAGCCCGAACACTACCCGACGCGCAAGTCACGTATCCAGCGGCCTACGTCACCACCGTCCCTCCGTGACTAGGCACCAACCAAGGAATCACCACCAAGTTCGAGTCCAACTCGAATGCGCCTAGGTCCCTGATCCCAGTGTCGGTAAGGTAACCGCCTTCGAACGGTCGTCGCGAGCAGCGGAGCGCCCGAGTCAGACGGAGTCTAGATGGATTTCGCTCATGACTGCGATAGCTGACAAAGATTCGCCGTGTGTTTGTGTTGTTTGCGGTACAACACTGTTTTGGTTAGCTGCAGTGACTTAACGGATATCGTTTCATGGCCTTCATACGATACTACATACATGGTGATGCCTTTTGGTGAAGCTGGGTCGCAAACAGACAGACAGTTCGGGTTTCACTGCGACTGTGGTGTGCGTCAAGCATAAGTAATTCGGAATATCGCTTGAGGATAATTTCATGATGCAATTTTGCGTTCCTAGTGAAAGCATTTACTTGATAGCACATGATATTTGTATCGAACAACCAGATCTGCGAAGAGGCAACAGCGATACCAACAATATATCATTAACAGGGGCACAGCGCTGCCTCGGCACCACAAGGCTTCTTTAAGGGGGACCGACGTGAGTTTTGTTTTGTTTGTCTCTGCCGTTAGGCTACAGTCATTTGCTCAATGTAAAATTATTGTTTTGTAAAACATTAGGTTATATGCGGACTATGCCAGAGTCGGAGGACGGCAGTCGAATATCCATGTTTTTGTTAGAGTCTGTGCAATACGCAGTGTGCATATTTGTGCTGCAGGTCACCACCATCAGGTGGCTATTCATTCATCTGGAAACCTAGGACCGATGTCACTGGTTGAGCGCGGCAGCTACCCACAGCTACCCACAGCGCGGCAGCTACCCACAGCGCGGCAGCTACCCACCTTGTCGTCAGACATGGTTAGTGAATGTCTTAATCCCGTCTGACACCTTAGGAGTCCCCTCGGAAGTCGGGATAGGTCCAGCATGTCTGGTTAGAATCAACGATGCGGTCAAGAGTCCCCGAATGGCATGGTGAGCGAGAAGGCGCCGAAATTCTTAAAATATAGGCTATGTTTGAGAGAAGTCGCACTGCACCCCCTCCCTCCTATGATAAATAAAAGAAGGCCTCACTAATTACCTATTTTCAGTTATTGAGGACCAAGACACAACAGTAAGACCATGTCATGGCTTAGAGCTAGAAGAGGACGAATCTCTGTGCAGAAGACGGCATAATCATACAGGACGTTTGCTTTAGTTTCAGGCTGCTATGTAACAAGGGTTGACGTTAGAGGATCGCCCACTCATTTCAAAAGGAGAACAGTGATTGCCCTAAGAGAAAGAAGATCTCAATAAACGTCGCAAGGGACCAGGATTCCGCGAGAGACCCGATCATGACCGAGAGGAATTCCTCAGGCACTGCCCAGATCGCGGACGGCTGAGCTGGGGTCCTGCCTCAGCTAAGACAGGAGGCCCTCGTCACGGCTTATCTGATCTCAGCGCAGTCAGGCGGGGGGTCCTGCTCAGACTGGCCTCTCCCAAGGCTAGAGGCAGACTCTGTCCCACTCAGCGCAGTCAGGCGGGGGGGGGGGGGTCCTGCTCAAACTGGTCTCTCCCAGGGCTAGAGGCAGACTCTGTCCCGCCTGAGGTGAGCCCTTGCTCCAGTCGACTGCTGGCCGACCGATATGGCGGTCAATAATGCCGACGTGGATGGATGGAATGGAACGGAAATCGTGGACTAAGAGCGTGCTCGATCGCCTTTCTGCATTAATTTTTAAAAATTGATTCACGAATAGTTTTGAGTAATGGCAGATGACAGTGAGCATATAAAAGGAAGCATAACGAAAACCAGCATCTCGACCGTGGGTGTTTGTACGAGAAAAAAAACAGTTTAACTAAATATTGCATTAAAAAGCAGTCTCAGGCAGTGCCAAAGTCGCAATGCAGTCAGCGGGGCTTTAACCTGAGAAATGTCCTTGCTGAGTGAGCCTGCGTGAAAGCCCGCCAGGCCGCTCCCCCCGCCCCCCCCCCCCGAAAAAAGTTCGTGGCGTATCATTTTTGAGAGGCGGACATCTCTCAATAGCAGAATGGTTTCGTATTCTTTTGTTTATTCTTACAGGGACAACACCCAACTTGGCTTCAACAGCACCCAATGTGGCAAACGGACGACACTCAATGGGGCAAATGGACAACACCCAATGTGACAAATGGACAACACCCAATGTGGCAAGTTCATGCATGTACCCTTGTGTTGGTTGCCCATGCTCATGCCCACGTGTTGCTTGCAATAAACGAACGCACGCATATGTCCGTGCGTCATCAGCCGCGACAACTTCCGATTCTCCTCGAGTCGTGAGCTGAAATGACAGCGCACGCTGAGATCGCAAGCACTTACGCCGCAAATTACGAAGCCCCGTCCATGTGCGAGTGTCGCTGAGACCGGCAAACTGAGAGAAGGGGTGTCATGTTTATGAGCATGGCCGGGCACCATGTCAGGCGGTCGTCCATGCGAGACGAGACTGTCGGACTACCTCGGACTGGGACCACCCGCGTCTGTGCAGTGAATTACTTCGGGCTAAGGTTGCAAGGACAGGAATGAGTTGGCAAACGCGCTGCGCAGTGAAACCAGACCCTGCAGGGCTGTCAGGGAAGTTTTGCCAAGCTTTATCGTGAAGTCCCCAAGCACGGGTCGCGTCATCTTTCTGACATTTTATCCCCATTTATTATCGGAAAATGATTTGCCTTATTGTTGTACATTGTTTGAAACTAGATGTTGGTGGAAATTGAATATACATGCTCGAACTGTAACCCCATCATGAAGCTTCCAGCGAAATTTAAACTATGTGGTGTTTCTCTGGCCTCTCCATCGGGCGGCTCGCCGTGGACTGCACCAGCAGCTTGACGCAGAATTTGGTGGCAAAGCCTTCGATGGAGAGGCATGAAACGTGCAAATGGGCTTCGGCTGTTTGTTTTGCAAAAGGTTTTAACTCCGTGCCGTACAGGCGTAAGCACAATGCAAGGTTTAATTACACAATAGAGGCATACCCGTAAACTACCATATGGCCTAAAATCTTGAGCTGTGATTATCCAGCAGAGCCAAGTTGCAAGCTTCACTGCAGTATCACAGGATATCTTATTTGCAGTCCACTGGCTCCCTCACCACAGTCTCACTATCGGTTTCGTCGACATATCACTGATATTCTCACTGACAGTATCACCATATCTCAGCGAATAGTCAAGTGCAGTCTCCCTAGCAGTTTGGCTCCATCCTCACTGGCAGTCTTGCTACAGTCTCGTTGCAGTCTTATTAGACATTGCACGAAGGGCAACTGCAGACTCTAGACCCTCGCACCCTCCCCCCCCTCCCCTCCCCCTGCCTGCCCCGAGCAAAGCCAGGTTGGTGCAGCCCCAGTGATATAGGCAGCCGCGTGCACCAACAGCAGTAGAACGCCCCGGTGTCGTGAAATGAGCATAGGTCCTCTGGAGGCCTCAGCAAATACGATGTGATAGGATTCGATTTTTGGTGAGGTTTCCTTAAGTTGTCTCGAGACGGGATTTCGCCCCCCCCCCCTTCAAAATTGTGTTCATACAATGCACGCTTTACGTTTTTCATTCAAAATAGTGGGCTGTTACGTCAAATTCCAGTTCCCCTCTATCCAATTTTAAAGATGTGGCCGCATTCATAAAAAGCACTCACTTTGAGAAAAAGGTCGCTGGCGCTATGACATAGATCATTCGCCGATCCTGCCTCTCCGACCATTTCGGAAATTGTTTTTATGTGGGGGACTGCAGCCAGCTTCCAGTGAGGCTCTTTACCGTTTAAAATCGTTTCATATGGGTATTTTCAGTCAAGAGAATTCTTCGCAGCTGTTGTAAGCGCCGTGTTTTTGGATTCGCTGGACATTTATAGGCTTTGCAATTTGACCCTCTTGTTGATGCCTCGGACTCGACGTCATATTTTAGAAACCCCGAGAGCATCCTGAACTGCCAGAATTCCCACTCCACCTCCAGCGGAGACGTGGCTCCGGGCCACGCCCCCCTCGGCAACGGCACTGTACGCTTCCAAAATTGTATCCAAAACGGTAGCGTGTGCTGTCGATATAATAAGTTCAAGTATCAAGTATCAAGTAAGTGTTGAGGTAGCCGTGGTGGCCTGTTAATCAAATCGGAAAAATCTTGTTAAATTATTTGGCAGCACAGGTTTCCTCCCAGTTTGAGGCTTGCCCAGTTTGTAGAAATGGCAGCCGCCATGGTAGCAGCGTTGCGGAAGTTGGCTAATCGGTTAAACGCCTCATATTTAAGATCTGTGGTGCCATCCGCTGGTTTTAAGAGTGCATACAGCCTGGAAAAAATATATCCCGACTCAGATCCTAATTTTACGTCGTCTTCGCAGGTGAGGATGGGGATGGATGGACTTGAAACGCCTTGGGTGCGCCATGAATGTCTACTCACCATTGCCGGCCTCTCGAATGCTCACAATTATCAGATCACCAAAAAAGCGTTACGTCGAACATGTCGGGCGTACCAGTGACAGCATGTCCAAAGTGTTAGCGAATTTACGTTCAAAATTCCAGTGTTCACGGTGTGGCGCACTGTCTCCACCTAGTGGAGAGGCCTAGAGAGGGTCTTCTAGGTACACTGGATTAAAATGCAGCTATAATGGAGTTGCTGCTATGAGTAACTCACTATTCATGGTACTCGTGTCAATGACCTAGTTTTGCAGAACTTTTGAGACCATGTAGCAAATGTTTTGTGAGGCAAGTTTTTATTTAAGCACTAGGGCTTATTTCCATTCTTCCAAATATTTTTGGAAGACATGTATATATATATATATATATATATATATATATATATATATATATATATATATATATATGTATATATGTTTATATAGATATATAGTATATACATGTGTGTAAACAAATTATGTATATAGATGTATAGTCTTTGTTAGCAACAGTGTGGTAGGCTGAGTATGCCTCGCTGGAAGCATGGAATCTGTTTAACCTGATGACCTGGCCTGGTCCATGCAATTTTTTTCTGGGGGCTAATATGTTTGAGACCATTTCTAGCAGGCTCATGCTGCTCATCAAATTGCTTAATTTCTGAGAATTCTTGATGCACATCTTGTTATTTATTCGCATGTAAGGTTTTGGCTATTGTTTCTGGCAACATTTCAACATCATTTCCACAGTTAGGTATTTGTTAAGTATGTTTTTGCAATGCTGAGGAGCTGAAGGGGTATAATCAGTGCCACATTGAGCATTTAATGTGAAAACAAACCAAGCCTGGGCATGGATACTCAAGCCAGGCAGAGGTTCCAGAAGCATGCCTGGTTGGCATTGTAAAGTGTCATGATACATTTGTGGCTTGTTTCAGGTCCCTGAAAATGAAGGATCTAGGTTTAGTGGCTATATTCCAATGAGTAAGTATTTAATGCAAGTGTTTGGCTTGTGTTACAAGTAGCACTTGTGCAACCAGTGTTTTTCCTTAAAATCCTTAAAATTGGAATAAGCCAAGGCATTCCTCACATTGTAGGGAGCTAACAGATATAAAGGAGCATTGCTTGTGCAATTGCATCATTGCATTTATGATGAGTTAGGCAATATGCTTGGGTCTGTTATTGGGCAGAGGACCTGACATTGTGTCAGTAATAAAGGTATACGTTTACAAGGCTGTGAATCAGTCCTAGAGGTGTAGCGTACTAGTAATGAACTACATGTGTCTGATGCAAGTGACTGTCACCTGCAGCATGTGTTGCCAGGCATTTATGCATAGCATTTCATGCTGGCTAGATGAAAAATGTGGGTGTTTGCAGAGGACATTGATATCTCATACACCAAGAGCAGTGGACCAGGAGGCCAGAATGTGAACAAGCTGAACACAAGGGTGGAGATTCGGTTCCATGTCCAGACGGCATCATGGCTGCCTGATGAGGCTAAGGAAGGCCTTCTCAAAGTGAGTGAATGCTAATTTGTGTACAAAAAGGATTGGATATGACAGAAAGTGCAGACAATTGCTGCATGTTCATGCTGCTATCTTGAGACTTCCACGAGTCGACCTTTCTCACTTGTCACCGGAGACATGTCAGGAGGTGATTTTTGCGTGTAGCGTTTGTATGTTGCGGAATATGCATTTAGCAAAAACGCATCCATTGTTTTTGCCAGTGTGACAACTCCGTGCAAATTCGGTAAGGTGTGACCGCAGTTTTCCGATTTTTACGCTAGCGGCGTTCACTGCGATCAGTTTGCGCCCCATAATGTTAACGTGGGCTGTAGGCGACGTCTCACGGGCGACACAGTGCCGTGGGGCATGGGTGAAACGTGTATAATGTGAAGGGCTCCCCAAGTGTCTCCCAGAACGAGTCCTCTGTGACGGTAGTACAATAGGCGTGTGTTGTGATCTTCGCTGTCATGACGCCAGTGATCACGTCAGACTGCGCTCCGGGTCCTGAGTGTCTCTCCTCCGGTCTCTGATGAGGAACGGCCTCAGCCGTGCCGCGTCGGCCCGACGCCGTCGACCGGCGTGGTGAGGCCCGCCTGCCGTCTGAACCCCTCCCCTCGTCCCCTCCCCCTCAGAAGTACCGGTCCCGCATCAGCCGGGACGGCTACCTGCACGTGCGCTCCGAGCGGACGCGCTCCCAGCTGCTGAACCGGGCCGACGCCCTCGACAGGATACGGTGAGGGCGGCGGGGGGGGGGGGGGGGGGGGGGGGACAGCGGCCAGCTGTGTGGGTTTGTGTATTGCTGTGGTAGAGGGCGTGAGAAGAGGGAGCTGGAGAGCCTGAAGGTTCTGACCCCCCGCCACTCGCGAGTGGGTTGGCGGGCGAGTTACGTCTTTGAATAGGATGCAGGTTGAGTCTGCGGAGTGGTGATTTGTTGTTTGAGTACGGGACTCGTCCAGGCTCGGGATTCGGTATTCGGGTAATTGATATCGATTTCGATGATATCGCATGCATGTCGATGCCTGGATGAGGTGAACTCGTTAGACAATACCGGTATGCTTTGGGCATTGTGTCATGACTGGCATAGCGAACGTGCACTGTGGCTTGGAAAAATGTTCTGTCCTCATCAACTGTGCTACATGTTTGAGAAGCGCAACTAGAGGAAGACACTTGCCAGACAGTCTGATAAGCTTCGACAGTATTCCTTGGCAGCACATGTACGCTGATCAAGTCCATTAAATTGCGTACACGTCAGTCAAACTTTAAAACCCAGTGAAATGTGAATTTGCTGTGGCATAGCATTTGCATGTATGGCTATAGCAAATCTGAGCTTTCAGCCAGTATAGCTGGGAGGGGGGTCGCGGTGGGCAGGGCGCTCACGACTGGGAGCTACCCTGGGAGTTTTCGTTGTAGGATGATGGTCATCTGAGCTGTCCGGAGCTGAGCTGAGCTGAGCTGAGCTGCCTGTGTCGAGCCGTGCATGGGCTAGGTCGCTGTGCCGATCAGCCGCCGGCACACTGCGAGTGTGAGCGTACTGAGGCCAAACTGCGAGGGCCAGCGCCACCAGAAAAGCAGTGTTGCACTACTGAAGATACTTAAACAAGCGTCAGATATGATGAAACAAGCTTACTTATGAATATCAGTATACCTTGAGGAAGAACATGCTACTCCAGACTATACGATTTCTCTGTTTAGTAAATATGTCGCGATACGTCATCGTAACTTGCACAACTTTGGTCAAAAGCTAATTAGCGGCCGTTTTATCAGGAAATAAGGGTCACGAACGCCGGATGTGAACGACCGGACCATTATATTCTAATCAGTATTGATCGCTGCATGACTTACGGAATGGCAGGATTTGAATGGCCTTATTATGGCGTCATGAACGCCAAGATGATCTCAAAATAGGCTTCCCGAAATCCCCCCCCCCCCTATTTTTGCGGGCGTGTAGCTAAGAAATCAGAATGAGTGTAAGTCGTAAGAAAGGCAGGGCTGTAAACTGCATGGAAAGGTCTTCAAGATGGCTATTTCTGACCCCATAGAAAACCCTATAGAGATGTGGAACACTCCCTTAAACGTAGATTTTACCGCTGCAATGGCGTCACACCTGATTACCATGCTCTCGAAGGTTGCCGGGACCGCCCTTTGGTCAGCACACAAAGAACTGGAGTCATCAAAACCGAAGTGCTCCAGCCCTGCACGCACGCGACTCGCGATAGCTCGGTCGTCAGCGCGCGGGCATCGTCCATTCGGCCTGCGTTTCTGACGGCCTGTCCTTCCGCTGCAGGTACCTGGTGACGGACGTCCTGCGGAAGCCGAAGGAGCCCGGCCCGGAGGCGGCGGAGCGACACCGGCGGCTGTGAGTGTCCGCCTGGCGGTGGGCTGCACTCGGCGCGGTCTAGAGCTGGGGATTCGCAGTATTTTTGTATTCGAATCCAAGGAGAGATGGATTTGAGATTGGAATCTTGGTACTAAAATCTTGAGCCAGTGATGATAGGAAACAACCAGGTAATATGCAATGTACTGAATTACATTCTGAACCACGTTAAAAATTATGATCCAGGATTTGCTGTGCGTTGTATGATTCGTGTTGTAATTTTCCGGGCTTTGATCCTCTGTTTTGGAATTGAATGCCTCGTAATGCTGGAATCGCTTCTACCCTTTTCGAATCCTGCGATTAGAGGAAGACCCTCTGGCTTCACTGCAGGCGCTCGGCTTCAGCGCAGTTGCCATGGCTACCTTTGCGGCGGTGTTTTGCGTTCTACGGCCGGGCGTCCGTTTCCTTCCTGCCTTTGTATATCGGTGCTCACGTTTGAGCTCTGCGCTGGTAGACTGCACCGCTAGTGTTCGGTGTGAGGCGGTGGTACCGCGAGACGCCGCGACGAAGGCCGTGGAGCGGTGCCTGCGCCATTTGTGCAGGCTTGTCCTGACCTCGTCTTCACCTTTCGCAGTCACGAGAAGGCCACCCGAGAGCGGTTGAGGGAGAAGCGGGCCCGCTCAATGAACAAGCGGCAGGGATCGCTGGACGTGTAGCAGACTAGGTGGTTGGACGGGGTGTGTACTGCGTGGCAGCAGTGTGACAAATATACGCCGATTGAGCAGATGCGGCGTGTTCGGAGGTGCGGTCTGAAGCCAGTTTATGACGGGTGAATCTCATCTTAGACGTTGTTGTTCGCTGTGGTATGAGTTTAAGGACCAAAGGCTATTTACTTGATTATTTCCGTGGCTGCTGAACGTCGGCTTCACGATAATGGTTCTTCGCACGGATCTTGGGTAACGCAAGTCATTGTCGGCACCCATGCGAAAAGTGAGCAGTTTCCTTCGTTTTTGGTGTTGCATGTGGATGGCTGGAGACGGTGTAGATACGTGGCCGTCGGAAGTCCAGCAGGGTCCTGCTCTTTCTATCTTTGGGAAGCCGCGAGCTCACACCTCGGCAAACGCACAGTCACGGCTCACATCCACGCGTGTATTTCTCGGTTTGGGCCACGAACACATCTCCGACACAGCCACCCGGCCGCCACCTCCGACGTCCGCAAAATACAAAACGCCTCTGCGTCGTGCCAGCGTTTGGCCGTGCTCACACGGCTGGGCTGTCGGCGCGGACCGAGACGGGACGCGGCGGTCACGCCCCGGAAGAGAGCCTCGTTACACATTGTGTGGGGTGTCGGCGTGGATTGAGACGGGGCGCGGCGAGCCTCGTCACACATTGTGTGAGGTGTCGGCGCGGACTGAGACGGGACGGGCGGTCACGCCCCGGAAGAGAGCCTCGTTACACATTGTGTGAGGTGTCGGCGTGGACTGAGACGGGACGGGCGGTCACGCCCCGGAAGAGAACCTCGTTACACATTGTGTGAGGTGTCGGCGCGGACTGAGGCGGGACGCGGCGGTCACGCCCCGGAAGAGAGCCTCGTTACACATTGTGTGGGCTGTCGGCGCGAACTGAGACGGGGCGCGGCGAGCCTCGTCACACATTGTGTGAGGTGTCGGCGCGGACTGAGACGGGACGGGCGGTCACGCCCCGGAAGAGAGCCTCGTTACGTTTTGTGTGGGTCGCCTCATTCTTAAATCGAACGCTCCGAGAATGCGTCCGTTCTGCATCAGACTACGTCGCCTTTCAGCTTTTATTACGTAACACTGGTGTGAGGCATCAGTGTAAAAATTAAAATCCCAATCCAAATTCGAATCCGCCTCTTCTTCGATTTGAATACAAAAATGCTGCGAGTCCCTAGTTCCCACGACTTGGAGTATAGTCGCTCGTGCGTGACGTAGGCACTTGCGGCGTCACAGTTAGCAACTCAGGCGATTTGTCAATGGATAATGCGGTCCTAGTGGCAAGGCGTCTCATTTTCATTGCGGTCACCTTCAGCGTGCATCGTATCGCGTATAGCCTCCCACCCTCACCCCATCCTCCTGCTTACGGCGGACCTCACCAAGCGCAGCATGGGGTCAAACGGAGGGCACAACGACCTGTCCTAACAGGCCAGACACTGCCCCGCAGGGGCACCGGCTTCGGTCGGTGTAGGGGACTAGCGCCCCCTCGGGTCCCAGCTCTGGTAACGGGTGGACAGCGCAAGCTGTTCCTCTCAGGGCGTAGCGACCCTGCCGGTACGTGAGCTCCTACTCCTTGTCCCGCCCGCTCCCTCCACATTACCTGCACTCCCACATCCGGCCGTATCACCACTCCTCATCCTCGTTTTATCGGGGTCGCCGTGCCCCCTCGCCCACGTCCCCGGGTTGATCGGATCCTGGTGGCTGAGGGGCGCGTCGTGCGGGTCAGTCACGGCGCGCCCCAACACTCCACTTTGGCCAGGATATCCGGGGGCGTGGGGGGCCCGTGGGGCCCCACACGGGTCTAGCGGCTTGTCGCTCGCGTTGCGGTTGGGTGCCCCTTGCGGGTCTCCGCTTGGGGCGCCTGGCCGCGCGCAGCAGCTTAAGGGGTCAAGGGGCGGCGGCGCTGAACCACGGTCAGGACGGGGAGGGGTCTCCCCGGTTACACCTGGCTGTGTGGGAGGCGTCGTTCGCCCCGTATAGCACCGGGGTAGCCCTGGCGGTGACCACCTCCCTAGGGAGTGTTGGGCCGTCCCCCAGTTGGGCTCCATGGTGGGTGGGGAGCCCCGGTGCCGAAATGCAAACCCCCTTTTTGCATGGCTTCTTCTACCTTTAAAAACACCCGTCCTCCGAAAGGGGGGCGGACCTCGACAACTCCAGGGTGCAGAGGTGAACCTGCTATCCCCGGACCACGGATCCTCGTCTTCGGAAGTGACGAGATTAGGTTGGCGTCCCTGTCACCGTTCCAGAGAAGAAATGGGTGCGACAAATTTGGAAAAATTATAAGATGTGACAAGCTCCGAGATGGAAAAATAGAAGTTGAATTGCTAGTGACTTGGAGGCGAGTCGGGCTATGAAATCAACTGAATTTTCGTACAGTGTTCGGGATGGGGCTGGCAAACGGGAAAAAACAGTGTCAATGTCGGCGACACCACATAACACGAAAAATTCGTCCCGGGGCGTGGTGAACTGTTTTGACCTGCGTGACGTTGACGAAGAAGAGATCGTGGAGGAGCTCTCGGAGTTTGGAGTGACCGCCGCTCGACGGATTCTTGTCAGAAGGGGAGGAGAGTTAGTGCCCACGAACAACCTTATACTCACGTTCAGTCGCCCCGACATACCATCCGAGATACGTGTGGGATACGTCCGCGTAAAAGTCCGTCCATTTTTGCCTAACCCCATGCGGTGCTATCAGTGCCAGCGATTTGGTCACACGAAACCCAACTGTCGGAACCGCGCGGCGTGTGGCAAATGTGCGTCCCTCGAGCACATGAGCGAAGAATGTACTTCTGACAAACCCCACTGCGTCAACTGCGACAAAGACCAGGTTCCGCACATGTCCTACGACCGTGCATGTCCAGCCTACGCTAAGGAGAAGGAAATCATATCAATCAAAACTTCTAAAAACGTATCATTCCATGAGGCTCGGGAACTTTATGACGAGACCCACCCAAAAACATCGTACGCATCGAAAGTGAAAGCTTCATTGCCGCACACCAACGTGATCGAGGACATGACGGCTGCTCAATTTCTGGAACTTTTGAGATCGTTTGGCCTATCAGCTGTACCCTCAACACGCGCCCCGGACTCACAGCCAGCACCGCAAGCCCTCTCCCCACCGTCGGTGGCCGCCGTGCTGCCGGCCTTCTCGGCACCAGTTGGATCGCCAACAAATGGCGGGTGGACCACGGTTCGGCGTGGCCGCAGCCCTCGCGCGCCGTCCGGTATTCCTTCGTCTGAGAAACCACCGGTCTCCTCATCACAGGCACCCCTCACCAGTGCATGTGAACGTGTAGCAGAGACGATGGAGCGTCAAGAAGCTGATAGGCGCGCCCGCGAAGCCAAGCGAGCGCGTCTAGTTGAGCAGGAGAGGACGAAGGCGATTAGCCGGCTGCCGGGGGCGGATCAGGGACGTGCTCCCGCGGGGGAAATCGTTCCACCGCCCAGGCGACGCGTAGAGGCCCCTGGTGGATCCGAGGTTCGGAATCCACCGATGGGCCCTCCTCCTGCGCCGCCATCTAAGGTCACGGCTTCGCCGGCGCCGTCCCCGTCTAGAGTGGGGCGCCCGGAAAAGCGTGGCCCCCCCCTGGCCAATCTCGCCCACAGACGGCAGCCCACGTATTCGGCCCAGAACCCGGCCGGCGTCGGTGGGATCAGACCTTGGTGGGTCCCTGCACCCCGTAGCTGGACCGTCTGGGTCTGCTGTGGCCGGCGCAGCCGAGTATTTTTAAAAGTAGGTCTGTTTTACACTCACAACCCAAACACATGCCCCCGTCCTCCGGTAGGCGTCGATACCATGGAGTGATAGGAAGCTAACGACCGTCCTGACCTCTTAGCTCCATGACGAATGTTTTACAGTGGAACTGTAGGGGCGTCCGAACAAGCTACCAAGATCTCCAAGTATGCATTAACGAGCGGCGTCCGGCGGTGATATGTCTCCAGGAGACAAAACTGGCACCCGACAGCGTTTTTAGTCTTTCGGGTTATGTCGTTTGGCGGCGAGATTTACCACCTGTCCCTGTTGCTCATGGTGGCGTTCTCCTAGCCGTGCACCACAGCGTGTGTGCACAAAGGCTGGCTTTGAATACTGAGCTTCAAGCTATCGCAGTCAAAGTGTTGTTAAACTGCCATACGATCACCATATGCTCAATCTACTTGCCTCCGGGGACCGGGTTTCCGTCTGCTCATCTGAGACACCTGGTGGCTCAGCTTCCGCCGCCTGTCCTCATTTTAGGTGATTTAACGCTCACCATTCAGCGTGGGGTTGTGTCAAGACAAACACTCGCGGGAAACGCTGCGAAGCCCTCATACATGAAGAATCGTTGTGCCTCTTAAACACGGGCACGTGTACCCATTTTACACTCCCATCAGGACAGGCATCGGCAATCGACTTAAGTCTTTTGAGCCCACAACTGATCAACCATTTTGACTGGTCGGTGTCAGACGATCCAATGGGAAGTGACCACTTCCCCATCTGGATCAAGTACCGGGCTGACGTTTTTCTTGGTTCTCGGCCACAGCGCTGGAATTTTAGAAAAGCCGACTGGACTGAGTTTCAAGCAAGGATCGAGCATTCCCTTACTATGCAGCCAGCGGGTGAACCCCCGTCGGTAGGGGGATTTGACATCGCTGATTTTGCGGTCTGCAGAAGGGTGCTTACCGCGAACGCCGGGCTGCCCTCGTCGTCCTCCTGTCCCATGGTGGACGCAGCAGTGCCGGGACGCAATCTGTGCACGTAGGAGGGCCCTTAGAAAGTCTGACCGTCGGAGTACTACTGACAATCTTATTGCATTTCGACGAGCACGAGCGGCTGCTAGACGTACCATTCTAGAGGCTAAGCGGGCATCGTGGCGGTCGTACGTCGGCCATCTAAACTGCCAAACACCTGTATCCAATATATGGTCACGGATCAAACGCATTGCTGGACAGCACTCGTCTGTGCCACACCCTGTGCTCAGTATCAATGGACGTGACATTATACACCCAGCTGACGTAGCAAATGAAATCGCCCGCGCATTCTCCGAACGGTGTGGTAACGGCAATGCCGTCCCGCAGTTTATGCGTCACCGGATCCGCTGCGAGGCATCCCCTGTCGACTTCAGCACGACGGAGCAGATGTCGTATAACCGACCTTTTACAATGGCCGAACTAATTTCCGCGGATCGGATAGCTGCGCAATGTGGCAGAGGGTCCAGATCTAGTTCACAACGCCATGCTTAAGCAACTTCCCACTTCAGTAGTTGAGGCCCTCTTAGCGACATACAACAATCTCTGGGAGAATGGAGGTTTTCCGGAGTCGTGGCGTGAGTCACATATTGTCCCTATGCTCAAGCCTGGTAAGAGTGGGGCTGACCCTGCTGACTATCGCCCTATCTCACTGACATCATGCGTTTGTAAGTTGATGGAACGTATGGTAAATGTGCGTTTGTCGTGGTTTTTGGAGCGGTACAACGTTTTTACGGCTGCTCAATGTGGATTCAGAAAAAATCGCAGTACCATTGACCATCTTATAGCTCTCGACACAGACATTCGCACCAGTTTTAGGGAAAAGCGACATGTTGGCGCTGTGTTTTTTGATGTTGAAAAAGCCTATGATACGACGTGGCGTTACGGCATCCTGAAAAAGCTCTTTCATTATGGCATTCGAGGAGCCATGGGCACGTTCTTAGCGAACTTTATGACCGATCGTTCTTTCAGAGTTCGTGTTGGCTCGCACTTCTCGGATAGGTACCAACAAGACAATGGCGTGCCCCAGGGTAGCGTTTTGAGCGTCGCTCTGTTCGCAGTTATGATTAACGATATTGGTGACTCCCTTCCAAAGTCGGTCAGCCGCTCTCTCTTCGTGGATGACGTCGCCATCTGGTATGCCTCGTCAAACTTTGCCTCTTTGGAACGTCGCTTGCAGTTGGCTGTTATCAGCCTGGAAAGATGGAGCGTTATAAATGGACTACGTTTCTCGACCTCGAAAACAGTTGCTATGCACTTTTGCAGACGACGTCGTCAATGCCCCGCTATGGCTTTAAGGCTATACGGCCAGACCATCCCAAACGAACCCAGTACCCGCTTCTTGGGTCTGCAGTTTGATAACCGTTTATCGTATGGGTCACATTTGAAAACCCTACATGACAACTGTTTTAAAGCATTGAACATATTGAAGTATGTGTCTCGAACATTTTATGGAGCGGACAGAAGAACACTGCTACTGCTATACCGCTCACTTATACGTTCGAAACTTGACTATGGCTGTTTTATTTATGACCGTGCGCCGAGTTCCTGCAAACGTTTATTAGACACCGTGCACCATACCGCACTACGCATTGTGACGGGGGCATTCAGGACGTCGCCAGTTGCTAGCCTTACCGTGGAAGTTAATGAACCGGCGTTGGCACTGAGAAGGGAAATGCTTGGCATGCGGTACTTTTGCAAGCTGGCTCAATTTCCCAACCATCCGACTCACCGAGCAATCTTTTCACGTGATGTGGAAAGCAAGTTCCAAAGTAGCGGAAGGCTGTCCGCTATTCCATTTGGTGTTCATATGAAGAAGCTGTTCCGGGAAAGCGACATAAGTTTGCGTGGTGTGCTGAGGTCGCGTCCCGTATTAGTGCCTCCATGGGAGCTAATCTCACCAAAAGTGGATGTATCCCTTTCATGCACAAGCAAACAGGGAGCGATCCCATGCGACCTGAGATCGAAGGCTCTGGAGCACATCGGGTCGTACATAGGTTTTCAAGCCACATATACTGATGGGTCGAAGACGGAGGTAGGTGTTGGTGCTGCATTTGTGAATGACCAAGCCACCCGGTCCTTTTCTTTACCGAAACACGCCTCAGTTTACACGTCCGAGCTCGTTGCAATCAGTAAAGCCCTATGCTTCATCGAAGTTGGTGAGAGCAACTCACACGTGATCTTATCCGATTCTTTGAGCAGCCTGTTGGCTCTGACAACCTATAACCCACCTTGTCCCATTATACAGGATATTTTAGTTCGCCTGACAGCGCTGGATCTTGCTGGTAGAAACTGTCGTCTTATGTTGGATACCGAGTCATGTGGGTATCGCAGGTAACGAGCGTGCTGACGCGGCCGCAAAACGGGCAGCGCGTGCACCTTGCACCCGTTCTTTACCCTTGCCGGCAAGGGATTTTACCCTGCAATCGCGACCTTTGTGAAGGCGAAATGGCAGCGCTGCTGGGACGCCATTGTAAACAATAAGTTAAAGATGATCAAGCCACAACTGGGTCTATGGTCTTCAAGCTCACGTAAGCTGAGACACGAAGAAGTAACCCTCAGCAGGTTACGAATTGGCCACACGCACGCAACACATAGCTACCTTTTGTGCGGTGAAGAACGCCCTAAATGTCCTCGCTGTGGTGCGCCACTCACGGTTCGCCACGTTATTCACTCCTGCCCACAGTTCAGAGCAGAGCGGGCACTTTACTTCGGACGAGATGCGTCAGGTCTTACCTTTTCAGACCTTATTGGTGACGATTCTCGCATGCTTGGCAGCGGACAGCTGTTTTCATTTTTGAGAAGCGTAGGATTCACAGCCATTTATACGCCACGGTAAACACTTAGCTGTTATGGGCGCAAAATGATCCTAGAAGTCGACGCGCCCTAAAACCCCAATCATCATCATCAGGCCAGACACTGCACGATGGACAGTTAGGCCGGGTAGAGCCGCTGGCTGAGGAGCTGGAGTCAAGGCCCGGCAGTAAGGCGCCGAGCAGCAGGGTAATCAGGGCCGTCTCAGGCTGAGAGCATGTCAGCTGCCTGTGTTGCGAAGAGAACGGACACAGCCAGTGGCTTCTTCTGTAACAGTGACGGCGCTTCGCCCGCCACACGAAGAGCCCTACTCGGCCCGCCCTGCCCAGACCGTACGCTGCGCTAAAGCCCCCGTGCGCCGGGCCGGAAATGCGACCGAAAGGTATCAGCGGCGGCGATACCCGACCACGGCGTCAAGCACGTGGACGCGACTCGATCTTTCCCGGCACGACAGCGCACCATTACGCGAGGGTGTCTCGTGGCGGGCGCAGAGAGGATCCAGGGCTGACGGGCGCCGGTCCTGCGCTCGGAGGCGCTCCTGCCGCGCGCCAGACGCTGCTCCGGCTCGTGACCCGGCGGTGTGACCCGGAGAAGCGCCCACGTCCAGACTGGCTGCCCCCGCCTCCGGCCTCACAGTCAAGGGCGGGCGCCGCGCCAGCAGCAGGATGGCCGGACCTATCCTGCCGGCCTTCTCCAAGCTGAGTGCGCTGCTGCACACGCGCGAGGCGGAGCCCCGCATGGACAACCTGGTGCTGCGGCTGCACTACCGCGTCACCGCTCGCATCCTGTTGCTGTTCGCCTTCGTCGTGTCCACCCGCAGCCTGGCCGGCGAGCCGATCGAGTGCACTACCGACTCAAGTGTGCCGCGCCAGGTTATGAACAGCTACTGCTACGTGGCGGCGACATTCAGCGTGGAGGGCTCCGGCGGCGCCGCCGCTGATGAGGCGCCGGCCGGCCTCGGCCAGGGCGGCGAAGCGAGGCATCACTCTTACTACCAATGGGTACCGTTCGTGTTCGCCCTGCAGGCGCTCACCTTCTACATGCCGTTCACAGTGTGGAAGCACATGAGCGGTAACGTGCTGCGCAACTGCTTCAGCTTTCAGCTGGATATGCCGGACACGACGATGCACGGGAGCTCAACCAAGCTGATCTCCTTCGCGGGCTACCTCTCAGCTCGCATGGGACGCGTCAACCAGGGCCTGGTCAAGGCATTCTTCGTTGTCGAGTTCGCGTGCCTCCTGAACGTCATCGGCAACATCTTCCTGCTGGACGCCTTCCTCGGCGTCGACTTCGGCAGGCACAGTGCGGTTCGGCTGGCCACCTTCCTGGGTCTTGCGCACAATGATGGCAGCGCGGACACCGTGTTCCCGCCGGTCGCCAAGTGCACCTTCCTCAGGTACGGCTACTCAGGCACCATCGAGCGCATCGACGCCGTCTGCGTGCTGCCGCACAACGTTTTCAACGAAAAGCTGTTCGTGTTCCTGTGGCTGTGGGTCTCGCTGCTGGCTTCCGTGACGGTTGCACACGGCCTCTTCCGCGTCGTTTCGCTGGCCGTGCCCAAGGTCCGGCGGAACGTGCTGCTGGCGCTGATGTTAAAACGAGTTCCGCGACGACGGCCGCCAGGTGTTTGAGCAGTGCACCGTGTACGACTGGTTCCTGCTCTGCAACATCGCCAAGCGGATGGACACGCTGGCCTTCAGCGAGCTGGTGCACCACCTGGCCGCCAGCCACAAGGAGCTGCTGCTGCCGGTGCTCACCGCGCCCGGCATGTCCAGACGCGCCTCGCAGTGGTCGGAGGGGCACCGCCGCTCCACCGACCACCCCAAGGTCACCCCCTGACGGCACGGCTGCCACCACCACTCGGCTCGCTAGTTCGCACCTGACGGAACTGGGGCCGTGTATTGCTATTACGCCCCGCCGGGCAATGCAAGAGGCTGATGACTGATTGGGTGAAACCAGGCTGAGGCAAAGACCGACGGTAAGATCCTGACGGAAACAAAGACAACCAGGTTGCTAGCAGCTATTGGTGTGTGGCAGGGTACACGTGGTCAGACGCAATCCAGAGTCCGATGGCTAGAAGGAGGGCAGTGGCGCAATATAAAGGCTGGACTGCTTGGTGGCGATACAAAGATGATGCACTCTGTTGATATAATTGGTAGTCATCCAAACATGGGATGCATTAAACTGATCATTTGTGTCTTTTAGTTGGTCGTACGGTAGTTTACGGATACATAAATTTATGTAAGGTGTTTCTGTGACCAAGTCAGTTTACATCTGTTACCAGTCGGTCAAATTGTTTGACTCTGACTGACATCCCTAATTCGAATGATGCCTCCACCCCCCGGTGAGGTGAGGCTGATCGCCCTTACACGAGTGAAGCCGTGCGCTTTTTGCTTATCATCACGACATTGTGTACATCGTAACTGATGACATGAAATTCTTCTATCACTGAAATAGCGTCTTGGAAAATGTCCTAATACACTAGTTGCGAACAAGCGTCGTTCATCACCACATGGCGCCGTATTAGCACCGCATTTCGCGCTACCATTCGCCCCTATGCCATGCAGCTGACGTATATACGTCTTCCCCACTACGTCTTTTTACCTCGCCTTGTTGAACGTCTGTTTCTTCGTCCTTACAAACTCATGGATGTAAGTAGGTAAAGGTATATATGTGTGAAGACATGCGTGCGCTGCCGGCCCCCAACACGAGATGGCCACAGCAGTGACGTGTCCTCCAGACGCTCACCTCCACAGCAGCGACGTGCTCTCCAGTAGCTCACCTCCACAGCAGCGACGTGTCCTCCAGACGCTCACCTCCACAGCAGTGACGTGCCCTCCAGACGCTCAGCTCCACAGCAGCGACGTGCCCTCCAGACGCTCACCTCCACAGCAGCGACGTGTCCTCCAGACGCTCAGCTCCACAGCAGCGACGTGCCCTCCAGACGCTCACCTCCACAGCAGCGACATATCCTCCAGACGCTCATCTCCACAGCAGCGACATGTCCTCCAGACGCTCACCTCCACAGCAGCGACGTGTCCTCCAGACGCTCAGCTCCACAGCAGCGACGTGTCCTCCAGACGCTCAGCTCCACAGCAGCGACATGTCCTCCAGACGCTCACCTCCGCAGCAGCGACGTGTCCTCCAGACGCTCACCTCCACAGCAGCGACATGTCCTCCAGACGTTCACCTCAACAGCAACGACATGTACTCCAGACGCTCACCTCCTCTCACGTGCAGTTGATCCAGGAAAGGGAACCATCTGACGCCAGGCGCCGCGCCTGAGACGCTGGCCGTACCTCCCTGCGGTAGTGACTCACAAGCTTCCACAGACGTTGAGCACTCGAGGCCGGTCGGGTCAGGTCAGGTCAGGTCAGGTCAGGATGTCCTCCTGGTCCTCAGTAATCGCGGTACTTGACGGATTATCCGGGCCGGCGAAGAAACGGCACTACGCGTCCACGTATGTCTGGAGCGCAAGACGTTGGCATTAAATATCAGCCACATAACGAGAGAGAAGTTAAAAGTTTGGTTGTGGCATATCCCCAGGACTAGAAATTTTGACAAATTTTGGGGGAGACGTCATCTAAGTGAAGAAAAGCTTGCTTTGTAGTGCTGTGAAGAACAACTTAGGAGGAAGCGGTCATTGATGCTTATGCATATATCGATATTTCTTATGGCTAGAATGTTGCACACCCAAGATTTAGCAGCAATCCACGTGTCGCTATGTGAGTGCGTGCCAAACGGTTGCAGTTCTAATGGTTCATTGTCCGTTGAAATTCATCACAAGTAGTCGACCAGTGCATGGCAAATCGCTTTCCTGTCCATGGAGGACGGGGATCCGTCGCAGCGGTGAATCCGAGAGGTACAACTGGCACGGCCCCGAGACCGAGACAAAGCACATGGCTTTGGTATGCAGGCTGGCTTTCATGACGCTGGTGTCTTCTCTAAGGATTGGTCTTCTCCATTCTTTGAGTCCCGGGTGTACATTTGCGGAATAAAACAATACCTCATTGTATAAAGAGTCGCAGACAGGATACACGTAGGCCAACACTGACAACGGGGGCACCCCACGAAGAGCTGACCAGAGAGGGACTAAACCTCCACCCAAGCATACGGTGGACGTGGAGAGTGAGAGACGGAGAGACGAGGCCCAGCACCCAACTCAGCTTAACGTACAACTCTCACGGCGCCGCGGGTGGGCGGCCACGCGGCGTGGAGCGGACCGACGCCGGCGCGACCACTCAGCCCCGCAGGTGGCGCCCCTGTTGGCAGGCATGGCCCCGCAGGTGGCGCCCCTGTTGGTAGGCGTGGCTCAGCAGGTGGCGCCCCTGTCAGTAGGTATGGCTCCGCAGGTGACGCTCCGGTCCGTAGAGGGCGCTGACTGGCCGCCGGCAGCAGAGGTGGCGTTGTTGTTGCTGCGCTCGCCATAGAAGATGAGCGCTCGGTCCGCTGAGAAGTGCGTGCTTATGAGTCATTGGGACTTTACGACGCGCTCAACTGCTGAGACTATATAGCATCGCCCGCCTCTCACCCTGGCAGGAGGAGCGGGCATATGGGCAATTCAAACCCCTAGTCTTGTTTTCCGTTTAGAGGTCTTCAAAGGTTGGTGAACCAATTGGTACCCATACATAATGGGTGACAGGTTGGATCGGCTGGCACCATGGCAGGAAGGGCGTTCCATTAAATCGGAAGCGAATGGTAACGCAAACGTCATGCTGATGCGATGCCATGGGGTGACGGAGAACGCTGCTTCGGAAATAGTTTATTGGGACATGTTCTAAAACGCCATTTCAGCAATGGACGGCAAAGTAACATCAGTTGCAATGTACACTATGTCGTGATGATCAGCAGAAACGCGCATGGCGTCACTTGTGTTGGCGCCAGCAGTCTCTCCCTCCCTTCTCCCGGGGTGGAGGCATCGTTCGAATTAGGGATGCCAGTCGTAGTAGTCAAGTTGACCGACTGGTAACGGATACAAACCGACATGGTCGCCGAAACACCTTTCAGAGATGTTCGCACGCTTATAATATCACACGCTTCGATTGAAACACAATTATCAGTACAATCCATCACATGTTTTATTAAATTTCAAAGAAATCAACAGGAATGCATAGGTTTTGTTTTGCTACCAAGCGGCTTTTGCGTCGCTGCCCTCCTTCTACCTATCGGACCCTGGATTGCGTTTGACCACATGCACCCTGCCACACACCAATAGCTGCAAGAAGCCTGGTGTCTTTGTTTCCGTCAGGATCTTATCGTCGGTGTTTGCCTCAGCCTGGTTTCAGCCAATCAGTCATCAGCCTCTTTCGTCGCTCGGCGGGGCGTAATAGCAATACACGGCCCCAGCTCTGTCAGGTGCGAACTGGCGAGCCGAGTGGTGGCGGCAGCCGTGCCGTCAGGGGGTGACCTTGGGGTGGTCGGTGGAGCGGCGGTGCCCCTCCGACCACTGCGAGGCGCGTCTGGACATGCCGGGCGCGGTGAGCACCGGCAGCAGCAGCTCCTTGTGGCTGACGGCTAGGTGGTGCACCAGCTCGCTAAAGGCCAGAGTGTCCATCCGCTTGGCGATGTTGCAGAGCAGAAACCAGTCGTACACGGTGCACTGCTCAAACACCTGGCGGCCGTCGTCGCGGAACTCGTCCAGCATCAGCGCCAGCAGCACGTTCCGCCGCACCTTGGGCACGGCCAGCGAAGCGACGCGGAAGAGGCCGTGTGCAACCGTCACGGCAGCCAGCAGCGAGATCCACAGCCACAGGAACACGAACAGCTTTTCGTTGAAAACGTTGTGCGGCAGCACGCAGACGGCGTCGATGCGCTCGATGGTACCTGAGTAGCCGTACTTGAGGAAGGTACACTTGGCGACCGGCGGGAACACGGTGTCCGCGCTGTCATCATTGTGCGCAAGACGCAGGAAGGTGGCCAGCCGAACCGCACTGTGCCTGCCGAAGTCGACGCCGAGGAAGGCGTCCAGCAGGAAGATGTTGCCGATGACGTTCAGGAGGCAGGCGAACTCGACAACGAAGAATGCCTTGACCAGGCCCTGGTTGACGCGTCCCATGCGAGCTGAGAGGTAGCCCGCGAAGGAGATCAGCTTGGTTGAGCTCCCGTGCATCGTCGTGTCCGGCATATCCAGCTGAAAGCTGAAGCAGTTGCGCAGCACGTTACCGCTCATGTGCTTCCACACTGTGAACGGCATGTAGAAGGTGAGCGCCTGCAGGGCGAACACGAACGGTACCCATTGGTAGTAAGAGTGATGCCTCGCTTCGCCGCCCTGGCCGAGGCCGGCCGGCGCCTCATCAGCGGCGGCGCCGCCGGAGCCCTCCACGCTGAATGTCGCCGCCACGTAGCAGTAGCTGTTCATAACCTGGCGCGGCACACTTGAGTCGGTAGTGCACTCGATCGGCTCGCCGGCCAGGCTGCGGGTGGACACGACGAAGGCGAACAGCAACAGGATGCGAGCGGTGACGCGGTAGTGCAGCCGCAGCACCAGGTTGTCCATGCGGGGCTCCGCCTCGCGCGTGTGCAGCAGCGCACTCAGCTTGGAGAAGGCCGGCAGGATAGGTCCGGCCATCCTGCTGCTGGCGCGGCGCCCGCCCTTGACTGCGGGGCCGGAGGCGGGGGCAGCCAGTCTGGACGTGGGCGCTTCTCCGGGTCACACCGCCGGGTCACGAGCCGGAGCAGCGTCTGGCGCGCGGCAGGAGCGCCTCCGAGCGCAGGACCGGCGCCCGTCAGCCCTGGATCCCCTCTGCGCCCGCCACGAGACACCCTCGCGTAATGGTGCGCTGTCGTGCCGGGGAAGATCGAGTCGCGTCCATGTGCTTGACGCCGTGGTCGGGTATCGCCGCTGCTGATACCTTTCGGTCGCATTTCCGGCCCGGCGCACGGGAGCTTTAGCGCAGCGTACGGTCTGGGCAGGGCGGGGCCGAGTAGGGCTCTTCGTGTGGCGGGCGAAGCGCCATCACTGTTGCAGAAGCAGCCACTGGCTTTTCCCGTTCTCTTCGCACCACAGGCAGCTGACATGCTCTCAGCCTGAGACGGCCCTGATTACGCTGCTGGTCTGCGCTTTACTGCCGGGCCTTGACTCCAGCTCCACAGCCAGCGGCTCCACCCGGCCTTACTCTCCATCGTGCAGTGTGTGGCCTGTTAGAACAGGTCGGTGTGCCCGCCGTTTGACCCCATACTGTGCTTGGTGAGGTCCGCCGTAAGCAGGAGGATGGGGTGAGGGTGGGAGGCTATACGCGATACGATGCACGCTGAAGGTGACAGCAATGAAAAATGAGACGCCTTGCCACCAGGACCGCATTATCCAGTGACAAATCACCTACCAGGTATGACGTCGCAAGTGCCTACGTCATACACAAATGACTATCCTTCAAGCCGTAGCGGCTCTTGTGACGCGCTCGCCCTTGACGTCATGCGCTGCAATTGGTGGTACGACCTTTGGTAATGGGAAACGCGGCACAGGATTAAATGCTATGCTGCCCAGGATATTGGACAGGATATTGGACAGGACAGTCATCTTGTTTGCCGTTGTATATCCATTTTTCATGATCTATGACGTCGTTGTTTTGTCATCTGCTGGCCATATGACTGTCATCGAGTGTTCTGTTTTTTTCAGGACGTTCCGAAATGTTTGCGGTGGTAGGACAGACCACCTTGTTACAATGCCTCAGTTTAAAAAACTGCATCATGAAAGGCTTCTTTACCATCCCACACTCCGGATTCTTGTTGGTCCTTCAGTTGTGTTCTAGCTCGCTAAAAAAAGGTATTTGTTAAAGCTCACGTCAGGAGGGCAAATCTGCCAAAATCTAGTGCGTTTTGCGGCTTTTATCTAATATAATTTGAATTTTAAACTGCAGTCAGGGGTGCACGGTACGATGCCGCCCGGGAGGTGGAGCACCCGCGTACTGTAATCACCACCCGCCTCCCGTCCGTCAGCGGGGCTGAGGTAGCCCCAGCCGTCAGCGGGGCTGAGGCAGCCCCAGCCGTCAGCGGGGCTGGGGCTGCCCCAGCTGACAGCGGGGCTGCCTCAGCTCCAGCCGTCAGTGGGGCTGAGGCAGCCCCAGCCGTCAGCGGGACTGAGGCAGCCCCAGCCGTCAGTGGGGCTGAGGCAGCCCCAGCCGTCAGCGGGACTGAGGCAGCCCCAGCCGTCAGCGGGACTGAGGCAGCCCCAGCCGTCAGTGGGGCTGAGGCAGCCCCAGCCGTCAGCGGGACTGAGGCAGCCCCAGCCGTCAGTGGGGCTGAGGCAGCCCCAGCCGTCAGTGGGGCTGAGGCAGCCCCAGCCGTCAGCGGGACTGAGGCAGCCCCAGCCGTCAGTGGGGCTGAGGCAGCCCCAGCCGTCAGCGGGGACTGAGGCAGCCCCAGCCGTCAGTGGGGCTGGGGGACGGTCGCGTTCGGTCATCAGCCGTGGGCGGAGGCGGACCGACATAGGACCCTCCCGCCGTCTCAGCCATCAGTAACAGGCGCAACACGGCCAGTCACCGTGCGGTTGTCCGGACCGGGCCTCAGGCCGGACCGCTGAAAGGAAAGTATTGCGGGCGAGCCAAAGTTCGGACTCTACCGGGCAAGCGGTGTCGCTTGCAATGGCGTAATGCCCATCCAGCGAAACCTACGGCAGTAAGCACCCAGCTGTGGCATGTCTGAACCAAGCTTCAGATGAAGTGACGATATCTGACAAACAATTAAGTGAGATTAAATTGAGATTAAAGTGTTGCTATTGAAACACGTTTGCTTGCGCCAGTGAGCGGCATCACAAGTGCATTCAAATCTTTCAATGTGACCAACCACCCAATCATCATCAAATGATATTGGTGATATGACCAATCATCACCAAAGCTTCAAATCCTGTCCCTTACAATGTATGCCCTGCGCTCCATGGTGACTCGCCACCGAGTCGAGCATTAGCTCTGTGGTATTGGTGTTTCTTGTCCCAACCCACATAATGCGTTATTGCGAATGGAAGCTAATGGTATGTAAACATCGATAAGCATATGGATAAAACTCGGCACGATGACCTGAGGTCGCACCGGCGCCGACCTGCCACGCAATCAGTTTCACTTAAACCGAGCTCATTCTCAGATCGCAATGATATACAAATAGTTATGGCCCGCCGTTCACTCCGACTCCCTTTGAACTTAACAGCCATCAAACATGGTGGAACTTGACCCAAGTATGGCTATTTGTCCTCATCGGAGCGCCTGGAGCCGCCTTTGAGCACGCGCCGCCTCGGGGGACTTAGTTTGAATTGGCTGCTTGCTAGCCCGCCGTGCGAGCGCGCTGCACCGGGGGCGGGGCGGGCGCCGAGCGCACGGCTCTCCCAGGTGAACACACTTTGATGAAGGTCTGCGCGAGCTCCATTTTCGCGACGAAGTGGCGTCTCGTCCGAGGTAGCGATGGTCCCGTCTTTGGATGGGGGGGGGGGGGGGAGGGGCTCAGGCAGCATCCGGCCGGTAGCGTCGCCGAAAGCAGGCGATGCTGGGAGTTTTGTAGGTGATAATTTTCCAGTGTGTGAATCCTGTTCTGATCCTGATCTGATTAATAAATGCTGTTATTTGCTGTCGGGGTCAGTCTGATAAGAATCCAGGCTGGTCGGATGTCCGGGTACGGCCCCACTCGGGTCAGCTTATGCTAGCCGCTCCACTTGTTGGCCTTTATACATATTCAAAAGTAATATAAATTAAAATGTAAAATGTACAACGCTGGAATGTAATAGAACACAGCCCTCTTCTGAACATTTTGCTTCTTCCGAGCAAGCATGGACTCGCGTTCTTTTGGCATCATTAGACGAAGCTCTTATGTTGATGATAGTCGACCATCCTCACTAAGGAAGGTAGATAGTATTGGATTTTAGGGTCATTTGATTTCGCAGGCGCAAGGCGCTATTTTACACCTGTGTTATTGCATTAACATGACCAACCCTTGCTCGTTCTTGAATGTTCAATATTCAGTCGGAATCGATGCCTAAAACATTACAGACATAGTTTTAAACGTGCGCTCCTGAGTCTTAGAACAAAATACCCTCGACGCACGTGTTTGCAGTCTCCATAGGCCGCAGCGTCGGCTCCGCACCTTACATTAGGCGGCGGCCAACGGGTGGACAAAATGATGACGCATCTGGATTAAATATCCCGTGACTCTTTGCCTCGCCTTTGTCATCATTGCAGGCGATGCCCCGCTGGTGGCTTAAGGCACACCGTGTCAAGATGAGCCACAGATGGCGCGCCCGAAAATCAGCTGGATGTGTAAATATTTGTTTTTGGACCCCTTCGTTAGATACCTTTTTCTCCGCCACTGAAGAACGACGGAGGCTTACATCCCACAAAAGATCCTTCGTGATATCTGGTCTCATCAGAGCGCAAATAACTTTATTGTTGAGCAGGCATACACCCAGAACTTTCCGAATGAAGTGGGAAGAAATGCCTAGCTTTTTTCGAACTGATGACCATTTGGACCATCTTCTTGCGAAATCTCTCAATACCTAGCGTGATATCTAGCAAGCTGCCTCTTGGCTCAGGACGGAAAAGGAGGCATTGGCTCTCCCCTGGTGACTGCTCCCCCACCCCCGCCCCCCCCCCCCCCCGTTGATCACGTGACTGCAGCCGAGACAACCCCTGGAACTGAATTGCGTCAAGATACGTGATTGCACAGATACTCGATTGCTGCTTATTCGATTGAAGCGAAACGAAATACGACGGACTTTTTACTATGCGATAAAACAAACAGCAGTCAGGACCGGTTCACACTGTGACCGGCCCGCCGGACCATACCGCCGCCGGACCGTCTTCCGGCCCAGCCAAGACCGGTTCACACTGTGACCGGCCCGCCGGACCATACCGCCGCCGGCCCGTCTTCCGGCCCACATATGACGGATATGACGGTCTTCTATGACGGATATGACGGTCGATCTTCCTCTGACGGTCCTATGAAGAAGGGGACAGCGGCCACCGCCGGTGCGGGGGGGGGAGGGGGCACAGTCCGGCGCCAGGAATGGAAAGTTGGGTTTTGTGAACTTTTCTGCGCTCATGTGGGGGCCATGGGCCGGGCACCGTCTTGGGGACAGTGCGGTCAAATAACGGACCCGACGAATACACGTGGTGATCGACTCCGGTGTGGGCGATACGAGTGGAAGGCGTTCAGGTAAACATCTTTTTTATTTAATATGATGCGATCTGTGCTAGGAGATCGACTTGCAAACTAAAAAAACATCGCAGGCTGTTTGATTTTCATTCTCCAACTGAGGACAGCAATGTGCAGCCCCTTTACGGAAAGATGATATTGTTTATCTGAAAAACACTGCAAAATAAAAAAACAGACCCTACCCTTCCGGAGTATGAGAAGAAAACAACGCGTGCTGTTAAACTCTTGGCTAAAAGCCAAGTTCTTGATTTAAAACAAACAAGCATGCCAGCAAAATTATTGTGCAGAAAACTTATACAGTAGTCAAATTTGCCAAACATTTGGTAAAATAAACTAATGAACACACTATTGCACTAAAAGCTAGAACACATTTTATAACGCCATCTGACGCCGTGAATTCGTACAGTGAAACCGCCAAACCAGTTTCAGCCGCTG